AATTATTTAATATATTAATTAATTAGGAAAAGTTCTTTAAGTCATAAATAAGTTTAATTAATCTTAACACAAGTCAAATAAACAGTTAGGAAAAACACATAGAGGATGCACAACCAATAATGCACAATTAGTCAAGTACGCACAATAATGATGCAATGATTTTGCAACCTAACCATGGCTCTAGTTCTCTAAAGTTCGGGATATGGGTTAGTAAATAGAGGGTATGTGGTTAATTGTCCTGATGCACCGCGCGGAAGCCTAACCGTGAAGGTTTGGCGCGAGTGGATGGGACACCGCGAGTTTAGAAAAACTCGCTTCCATGGTTTGGTGAATTCAACGTTCTCGGATGTACCCTTTGTTGCTCAGAGCGTTCAATTAGGTAGATGGAGCATGAATTCCTAGAGGGTTATGTCCATATGTAGAACACATATGGGTTTCAGAAAAGTGAGAAAAACTCAATAAGGAAGTAGGATCGAGCAAACAGTGCTAAAAATTGATCGAAATTAGAACGCATATTTCTGGCTCGGTATTGGAAGAACTTGACGCCAGCAAACAGAGGCGAGCGCCACAATTTGGCTTTAGCGCCTGGCGACAAAAGTTGTAAATTCCAAGGCTTTTAAATTACCATGGGCATCTAAGGAAGGAACCCCTACGATAGGATCACCCTCCTTACAGTGGCGACTCCGCTGGGGACTTAGAGGTTATAAGATTAGTTCTTAGATATGGTCCAAGATTTTCAACACTAGGTTGCATATGGGTTGTAACGGGAATTAACTTGGATAATCTCTAGTTAGAGAGCGAGACTTGAACGCATAATATCTTCCTTTTGCACAAAAGTAAAAACCAAACAAGCAACATTGCATCATGCATAATCATAACACACTTCAACCTTTTGGGAGTGGCTTATTGACTAGGGGCTGCCAGCACTAGGCTTCTATCCCGAAATCAATAACAATCATCCCACCCATATCGTCAACAAAATGTTGAGAGAGTGATTTCATGAGTCAATACGCTGAGTGATTGATTTCTGCATCGTTTCTTAAGATATGGTACCCTTAGACACCCAAGCCTTTCACCTTAGAATTGAATTATGTGTATCGTGGCTTATGGTATGCTTATGTGATTACGTGACTATATGCGACGTGTTAGGATAACTTTCTTTTTTTCCCTTTAGTTTGGTTTAGGTTCCAATTACGAAGATGTCTCTTCGTAATTTTGAGTCATATTCGAAGGGTAACAAAAAAAATCGAAAAAAATGATGGCAAATATAAAAAAACACTCGAATTAAAAAAATAATTTACGAGCAGGTGGCGCGCACAACTCAATGAGTTGTGCGACCCCAGCAAGCGTAAGTGATTCGGATGCTCGCGTCAGTCGTGCGTAGCTTAGTCACTTGAGCACGCCTATTGTTACGAGCCATTTTAATTTTTACGAAAGCAAATTGGCTCGTTTAAACAATATCTTCATTGAAGAATTTTTTAAGGGTTATGTTATCCATTCGCATATAATTTATGTTCTTTCTTCTTCTTTTTGTCTCCTAAATAAGAGTATCGATTTACTTATCCTTTCATACTTCTTTAGGGCCAATTTTCAAGCTTGGGAACGAAGACTCCCAGGCGTTCGCATTCTACGTTTACCATCAAACAATCCACTCGTTTCAAACCACCTTCCCTCGACAATTATTCCTAGTCCAACGACAATGTCAACCATTGAGCAACTCCAAGAAGAGATTGCTCGCTTCAGAGAACAAAAGGTTCAAGAGACCGAGGAAAAAATATTAAGAAACTTGAAAAGGCTGAAAAAAAAAATGCTGAGGCTATAACCTTGAAACAAAAGATGGAACAATTATCCGTCAAAGAAAAGTCGTTGGATAAGCTTGTTCTTCGTTCAACCATGGGGAACAAGTATTTTGACGCAGAAAATTTTCTCCTCCCCCAGGACTTGCTTTATCGAAAAAGTTCGTAGCTACGGACTTACCAATATTTAAGGTGACCAATAATCCACAAAACCACTTATTTTACTGGCACCGTGGCATTAAAGGGAGTTGATCCTAAGCTTTGTGCTTTGACTTTCCCTTTATCTCTAGACCCAACCTCGAGAGAGTGGTACTATGGGCTAGATTCGAAATTCAAAACAACATGAAAAGATGTAGTTTCAATTTTCATTACCCAATATGAGAGTAATGTAGAGTTCAAATCGACTCTACGTGAACTTGAAATGCTTAAGCAAGGCGACGATGAAGGTTTCCTTGCTTTCTATGGTAGATGGCGAGAAAAGGCGGCTCACCTTTCCCAAAGGCCACCTGAACTCGAGTTAGTACAAAAGTTCATTGACAATTGTAATGAAAAGTACAACAAGCATCTACGTTACCTTGGTTTAGACACTTTTCAAAAGGTCTATTATGTGGCTACTAGCATTGAAGATTATCTTGCTAAAGAAAAAGCAAACAAACCTCATTATCATCATCAACCTAAGAATAACTACAAGAAGGGGAATGATGATGCATCATCCTTTATTGACGTACTTACGACCTCCATGCAATATAATAATAGTAATGATCCTCGAAGAAGATGGAGAAAAGAAAGAAAATTTACACCATATCCTGTGAGCTATAAAGAATTATTAGAAAAATTGAGCGAAAAAGGTCTACTTACACCAACAGGGCCAACACCACCCACTTTACTAGAAAAAAGGTACGCTCAATGGGATGGTAGTGATTATTATGCTTATCGTAAGGGCGTTGGGCATGATACCGAACGTTGCTATGTCTTAAAACACAAAGCGCAAGATCTAGTAGAAGATAGGAGAATTCCCACGCCTAAACCTAACAACAATATATCCCCATTAGGGGTATTTCACATTGATGAGGACCATATAGGAAATGATATGTTCAATCCTTTGGACTATATCAGCCCTAGAGGGTTCCCTCTAACCACAACACTGATAGGGACAAGTAATGAAGTGTGTTGGTTATGGGACGATGACTTTCTAGACTTTTATGTCTCTAATTATGCCGCCCTCCCACCTCCATCTTGTCTCTAAAATGAGACAAATGGAGCGCTTGATTGGGATCATTTCTTGTGGAAGTCACAAGATTTATCAAATCTCTCTTTGGATGAACAATGGCATCAAGCACGACTCATGGAACATCTTGAAATGGAGGCACATTCAAAGCCTCTATAAGAAATTTGGTTCACGAGTCCTACAACTAACCCAAATGAGATAGATCATCTAACTTGTTCTGGGCGAGTTTACCAAGCACCACCAAATGGATCTTCAACCGCACAAAATAAAACTCAAGGTCAAGTACAAAACCTAATACCACCTCCACTTGAGGTGGAAGATCCATTGGTCAAACAACTTCGCCAATCCAAGGCGAATGTTAGCATTTGGGAACTCCTAAGTACTTGATAGCCATTCATAGTGAAACCCTAGCTTTGCTTATAGGAGATAGCTTTTGGATTCCTATGATTGCAACTATTGTTTGTCCCTTGTAATGTTTTAATCAATTAAGTGATCTATAAATTAGCATAATCATTGAGCTTGCATGTGGAACCTAAATCCCTAGTGTTTAGCATATTGATTGAATTCCTTATTTTTCTCTCTTCTTGATGTCTTAGTTACCAACCACAACCATTTATATTCTTCGAATTAGCTTGACGTAGATTATAGCATAGTTCCTACTCATTCCTTTGGGTTCGACCCTTGACTTACCACATACTCATATTAGATTGGTCGAGTGTTTAAAAATTAGGTTTGGCTATAGGGAGAGGTAGATAACGACCTACATTTTCTTCTTGTCAATACAAAAGATGAGCTTGCTAACAAATAAAACCAATATCCAACCTTTTAGACCACAAACTCCAAAAAATGACCATTTGCTTCACAATAACGAAAATTGGAACAAAAAGAAACAAAAGGCTCAAAGTTCTAAATATGTGGCTTGAAAAGAAGGGGAAAGACTCAAATGGTTATCAAGATGGCAAATGTAAACCCAATGAACTAAAAAGAAAGAAGAAAATCCTAGAAATGAAAATTTATCACCCTGAAAAGTTGCCTTTGTCCTTCCTAGTTAGTTTGGTGTCGTGCTTGAGAATTATTAGTCAGGATTCAATATTAGGTATGAAAAGGTTAAGGATCCACACTGCACAATAAAAAATGATGAAGACTTGAAAAAGAAAAACCTCACACGGCTTAAGCAAAAACTTACTAAAGTTGACAAATTCACCAAAGGAAGCAACTCCGTCTTACCAAAAACCTAAAGAATCCGGCTTTAAGGCCCCAAAAGGTATAAACCGCTACCTTAGCATACTTTATCCTAGAGTCAACCAAAGATACTCTCAAACCGTGCACACCATTGTTTTTAGAAAGAAAATTAGCCAATGTGTAAGTTCAAGTGGTACTAAGTCCAAAGTAAAAGAAAAAAGATGGTGAATGAAAAGCAATGCCTCAAAAACATTTTATTTATATTTACAAAAACATGTTTTGTTATTTTTTAATAATTTTTTTTAAGAAAGAAAAGGACTAAAAATTAAAATTAAAAGAGCAAGGGAATAAAAGAAAAGAATAAGAAAAAGAGAAAAGGAAAATATGAAGGAAGAAGAAAACCATGGCGATTTGAATTTGCTGGTTTTCTTCAGCTTAGTTGAGTCTTAATGGCGAAGAAGAAGAAGCAATCTACTCCTAAACCCTCAAATAACTTGAATCATCCTTCAAAATCTTCTTTATCTCTATTGAATGATGGTGTTAATCGGTTGAATGTGTCTAAATTTTCTGGTTCTGCTTCGATTCCAGAAGTTGAAGAGGACCCTGATGAACTTGTCACTCCTCCTTCTCATTTGAGTCGATTCTCAACTGAGAAGATTACTAGAGCTGAGCTGAAAGCCCTTGAGGATTTCCATGTCTGATTGATTAAAGCCAATAAAACAGTACCCCGTTCTTCTGTTCCATTGGATCTCAGAGCTTCCTCGTCTGATCTTATTGCAGGTTGTGCTTCTAAGATGGCTGAAGGTAATCTTGTCCTTAATTTTGGATCAGTTCCTCGAATTCCAGAGACAGCAGTTCCTAGAGTTCCTGAAATTACTGTTCCATTGATTTCTAAGGTCGATTCTGCTCAAATTGCTGACTTGATTCCTTTGGAGAATGATGTGGTACCTCCTCAGCCCAATTCTATTCTTGCTACTAAGCCAGGCATTGCTAAGCTCACAACTAAGGGTTCTACCCTCTCTTTCGTAGCTCCTATGCTCAAAGATGGCAAGTCTGTTGCCATGTTACAATAAGATGAAATTACTGAAGGTAATCTTAAGTGGAAGAATTCTGTAATTTTCTATGTCATAGGCTATTATCCTACTATAGCTGCTGTTCATAAATATATTGCTGAAAATTGGAGTGTTATAGCTAAACCTGATGTTTTTTGTCATGATGATGGCTACTTTCTGATTAAAATGCAAAACTCTGATGATATGAATGTTGTTCTTAGTGCCAGTCCACATATGTTCTTTGGTAAGGCGGCTATTGTTAGGCCTTGGTCTGAGAAATTTGACTTTCATGCTGAGGTTTTGAGAACTGTTCCTATATGGGTTAAGTTACCTAACTTACCTTTGAATTGTTGGGGTGTGGACACTTTGAGCAAACTGGGAAGTGTCTTAGGAGTTCCTTTATGTGCTGATGAATGTACTTCAAAGCAGTTGAGGGTCTCTTTTGCTAGATTGCTCATTGAAGTTGATGTAACAAAGGCTTTACCCAAGAGTATCTGATTTGAAAGTCCAGATGGTGTTTTGATTGAACAAAAAGTTGTTTTTGAATGGACACCCCCCTTTTGTAGCAAATGTAACAAAGTGGGCCATGACTGTGCTATTCCTAGGAAGGTTCAACCGCAAAAGAAGCAGGTGGCTTCTAAGGAGCAGCCTAAGCAAAAGGTGTGGGTTGCTAAGCCCCAACTTGCTACTATTCCTGCACCTGAGCCTAGTGTGCCTGAATTTGGGGGTAATGGCTCTGTTCATAGTGCTGGTGTTTTCACTCCTGCTCAAACTACTTTGCAAGATACATCTGATGATGATTGGAGAGTGGTGGGAAGGAAGCATAGAAGTCATAGTAATCCTCCTGTCTTTACTAGTGTTCCTAATTATAATACCTATACTACTCTAATTAAGGATGGGGATGGTGCTGGAGATCTTATTCCTATCCGGGGTGATGGTAATCCCCCTTTGGGGTCATGATTATCCTATCATGGAATATCATGGGTCTTACTGATCCCTGCAAAGTAGTTTCTGTTAAGAAACTGCTAGCTGAACAATGTGTGGATGTTATTGTTATTATGGAAACCAAGGTGAAATGTGATAAGAGTGTTAAGCTTTAGAAGAAATTTGGATCTGCTTGGTCTTGGTTTTGTAACTACTCATCTTCACATAGGGGTAGACTCTAGGTTGGTTGGTTACATGACAAGGTTAATCTTTTAGTCCTCTCCTCTCATGAGCAGTTCATTCATGTCCAAATTAGCTCCAAGGATCTTCAGCATCAGATTTTCAGTACCTTTGTGTATGGCTTGCATTCTATTCACGACAGGTTACCTCTTTGGGATGGTATTTCTAGTCTTGGAGCTGTTTTTGGGCCTTGGCTTGTTATTGGTGACTTTAATTCTGTTCTCAATTCTTATGATAGAATTAATGGTAATGTTGTCACTGATAATGAGGTTAACCATTTTAGAAGTTTTGTTGACAATCTTGATCTTTGTGAGCTCAAGAGTAAAGGTTCTTTTTACTCTTGGTCTAATAAGGGTCATGGTGATACTAGAATTTCTACAAGGATTGACAGGGGGCTTATGAATCAGGCTTGGTTGAACAAGTATTCTCATGTTGAATCTATCTATCTTCCCCCTCTCCTCTCTGATCACAACCCTCTTTTAGTTGAAGTGTGTAGATTTGTTGCTGCTAAGGGGAGACCTTTTAGGTTTCTTAATTGCCTAGCTGATCATGTTGACTTTTGTTCAATTGTAGAAAACAGCTGGCATAGTGTTACAAATTCTTCTGCTATGGTTACTATTTGGCAGAATTTGAAATCTGCCAAAAAGAACCTGAAAGATCTGAACACTAAGTACTTTGCTAATGTTGATGAGAAAGTTGATGTGGCTCTTGCCTCTTTGAAAGCCATTCAGGACCAGCTTGCTGTGGATTATTCTAATTCTGAGCTTCATGTTAAATAGGTTGAAGCTGTAAATATGGTGAAGCATTGGATGTATATCCAGGAGTCCATTTGTAAGCAGAAATCTAGGGTTGATTGGATTAAGCTGGGGGACTCCAGTTCTCACTACTTCTTTTCTGTCATGAAGCACAGGCAAGGTAGAAATAGAATTGATTCTATCTTCACTGAAGATGATGTCCTTTTGAAAGATGTTGTGCTTATTGAAAATGAGATTGTGGGGTTCTATAAAGGGCTCCTTGGTTCTAGTGCTAGTTCTCTCTGTGTTGTTGACTTGGCCACTATTAGGAGAGGTTCTCAACTCAGCTCTAGCTCCATTGATATTTTGACTTCTGTGGTTACTACTTCTGAGATTGATAATGCTCTATCTCAGATTAGAGATGATAAGGCGCCTGGAATTGATAGTTTCAATGTTGTTTTCTTCAAAAAGGCTTGGCCTATGATCAAAACTGATATCTATGCTGCTATCTTCTCTTTCTTTGAGACTGGTGTCATTGCTAAGCAGTGGAATTGTACAACAATCACCTTAGTGCCTAAGGTTCAGCATCCTTCGTATGTCAAAGAGTTTAGGCCTATTGCTTGTTGTACCATGTTGTACAAGCTGATCTCTAAAGTTCTCACAAATAGGATTTCTAAAGTGGTGGGGACTGTTATTAATGATGCTCAAGCTGGGTTTATCCCGGGTAAGCACATTGATGACAATATTCTCCTGGCTACTGAATTGATTAAAGGCTACTCTCATAAGTTTGTTTCTTCTAGGTGCATGATCAAGATTGATTTGAGGAAGGCCTATGACTTTGTTGAATGGCCCTTTTTGCAGACTGTTTTAGAAGAGCTTGGTTTCCCTCATTCTGTTGTGAAGTGGATTATGACTTGTGTATGTTCTGTTTGTTACTTTATGATGGTTAATGGCTTTCCTACTAAGCCTTTTTCTTCAAAAAAAGGTCTTAGGCAAGGAGATCCTATGTCTCCTTTTCTCTTTTCTCTATGTATGGAGTACCTATCTAGGTGCCTTAAGGAAATGACTGGGAATCCTAATTTCAATTTTCATCCTAGATGTGAGAAATTAGGTATTACCCACATGATGTTTACTGATGATCTTCTCCTCTTCTCTAGGGTTGATTCCATCTCTATTCAGCTTCTCTTGCAGGCTTTCCAGAGATTCTCTTATGCTTCTGGTCTGATGGCTAATTTAAGTAAGAGTGAGGTTTATTTTGGAGGTATCTCTAATTCTGATAAAGATCAGCTGCAAACTGTTCTTGGTATGAGTAGAGGTAGTTTGCCTTTTAGATATCTTGGGGTGCCCTTATCTTTTAAAAAGCTTATTGTTGCTTAGTGTAGGCCTTTGGTTGAAAGGGTTACTGCTAGGATTGGATGCTGGACTTCTAGACACTTATCTTATACTGGCAGGTTACAGCTTATCAAAAGTGTCCTCTTTGGTATTCAGGCTTATTGGGCTCAGATTTTCATTCTTCCTAAGAAGATTCTTAGGGAAATTGAAACTAAGTTCAGGATTTTTCTTTGGACTGGGAAGAATACTTATGTAAAAAAGTCCCCTGTCTCCTGGCATCATATGACTCTTCCTAAGGTTTGTGGTGGCTGGAATATTACCTCTCTTGGTGATTGGAATAAAGCTGCTATTTGCAAGGTTCTTTGGGATCTTCCTCACAAATCTAACAATATGTGGGTGAAATGGGTGCATACCTATTATTTCAGCAATAGGAATATTTGGACTGCTACTATTCCCAAGAAATGCTCCTGGGTTTTGAAGAAAATCTTGACTTGCAGAGATATTATTGATGATATTGGTGGCTGGTCCTCTATTATGGAAAATGGGAAAATGAGTATTGCTAAACTTTATGCCCGGATTCGACCACAGGCTCCTAAAGTAGGGTGGAAAAGAATTGTTTGCAATAACCAATCCGCTCCTAAGAGTATTTTCATTACTTGGTTAGCTCTGCTTGACAAACTTGCCACTAAGGACAGAATTGTTAAGTGGAATGCAAGTTGTGATCGTATTTGTTTTTTCTGCCAGAACTCTTGTGAAACTGCCTCTCATTTGTTGTTCTGCTGTCCTTACTCTAAGACTATTTGGGAACAGATTTTTAAGCTTCTTGATGTGAAAAAAGCAGTTCAACCTTTTCATATTGAACAACAATGGATAGTTAAAAATTGCAGGAAGTCTAGCAGCAAGGGTAGAGTATACTCTATGTGTTTTGCTGAGGCTATCCACAGTATATGGCTGCAAAGGAATAATTTGATGTTTACAGGTGACTATAAACCTGCAGAAACTGTTTTTAAAGACATTATTTTTCATGTTGCTATTAGATGTAAAGGAACAGATAGGAAGCTGCTTTTGCTTCACTGAATTTCTGTTGTTGCAGTTGTTTGCTATTTTCTGTTGCTGTTCTGGTTGGGTGGCAGCTGGTTCCTGGTCAGTTCTTTGCTTCTGTGCTGCCTGCAGTCTTCAGCAACCTGGTTTTGTTAGTTTCTGGCAGCTGGTTGCTGTTTTGGGTTGATGTTGCTGCTTTGTTGCTGTTGCTGTTCTGTTGTTGTTGCTGTTCTGTTGCTGTTGCAGTGTTGTCTTGCTGTTTCGGATCTGCTGCAGGTGGTTCAGGGTGGCAGCTGGTGGTTTGGGTTGCTCTTGGTCTGCAGGTAGTACTGGCAGCTGTTCTGGTTTGCTGTCATACTGTCTGATGCTGGTGTTGCTTCTCTGTTCTGTTGTTGCTGTTCCTGGCTGCTGCTGTTGTTGTTGCTGTTTTCTGGCCTGCTGCTGCTGGTTTTGGTCTACTGTTACTGCTGAATTTAGTTAGTTTTTGGTTTATTTTGTTCTGGTGTTTTGCTTGGTTGTTTCTTGGGTTGGTGTTTTCCCTCTTTTGTCTAGTCCTGTTGCTTTTGCAGCTCAGTCTAGGTGGGGGTTGTGGGGTTTGGTGTTTGTTACTTCTTAGCTTTAGTAAGTTGTAACTTCCCGTTTTGGTAATAAAATTCTCCATATTTACCAAAAAAAAAGGAAAAGAAAACCAAAAGAAAAAAGAAAAAGAAGAAAAGGGAAATGAAGTGAAAAATAGAAAAGTAAAGGAGAGGTAGAAAGCAACAAGGAAGTGATGCTAACAAACAAATCCCAATCAACAAACAAGTGAACATTCGACCACATCGCCAATGTTCCCAATCACACTAAGGTGTTAAAAAGCAAACAACCTCGAACCATTCAAATTCTCCCAGAACTAATCCTAGACTAAGCAACCAAGAAAAGAAAAAGAAGAGAAATAGAAAGATCTCACCGGGCGCCAGTAGACACCTAAAAATTTATCCCCAAAACCAAACCGATGATGAAACCCCTATCACCGCCATTATTGGTCGGGTTAAGTATTTAATCTTTGGAGTGCATAAATCCATATTCAAATCCAAATTTTCATTTTATAAACTAACCCAATTCCTAGCCAATTTCCCCAAACCTTTAATTATTTTCCTCTTTTCATGCCTTTAAACCCAAAATAATTCAATTTGTGTCCTTTAAAATCATTTATTTCGTGTCCTTTTTATAAACATTTTTAGCCCAGTTTATTTTGGTCCATAATTTGGGTCAAATGATTTAATAAGTGGATGGAGTTTTAAAAGAGCTTTCCAACGATATATTATAGGCCCAAATCCGAGTTATAACGAATAAGTTATGGCTAAAATATTAAACTGAGCCCAAACCGAACCTAAGCCCACCTTACCTACGACCCAATGATCATGTGGAGGATCCAAATTATTTAATCCCATTCATAAACAAATTAGGATTAATTAGAAGCTTTTGTATGTTTATAAAAGATCTTAATTATCCTTTTAAAAACGATAAGGTTAAAGAGTTTGAAATTGAATAAAACTTTTCTTTTTGAAAGTCCTAATTCTATTCGAATTGAAAGACGTTCAAAGATAGACATATAATATTTTCGTGCCTCATAGTTTTTTATTCAAACCATAAATGGTTGGATAGCCCTTGAAATTATCTTTCCAATGATATATTATAATATCAATT